TCCAGAGAGGTTGGACTTCCTTTCTTCAAATCCAGCCGTGCGTGTGTGGCTAAGCCGCTGTCGAGAGAGTTGGACTATATGGCCTTAAGGCACCTCTCCACATTCTGAGTCTGTGAAGGACCTTCCCGGTCGCAAGCAGTTCAAACCAACATATTGGTCCCCGGCTGAATTATTTATCCCTACACCCAAGATTTGCACAGTTGACCCATAAACTGCTTGCAGAGACTAGTCTCAATATGGATACTTGGGGATCAGGGCGTTATGTGAATCCAGACAGCCAAAACCATTAAGCCAAGATGATTAATTGTCATTAAGCCAAAGTGATTAATCATCATTAAGCCCAAACCCCCAGGGTTGGATCTGAAGCCTGGAAAAGCCTCAGTGGCTGGCTTAGCCAGATTAACTGTCAACTACCCTGTTTCTCCAACAATACGGCCTCCCCCAATAGGAAGTCCCAGCATGTTTTATAGGCATGAAATGAAATTAAGCCCCTCCCCCCAAATTAAGGCCTATATTAAAACATGCGAAATGGGGGGAATGGTGGGGGGGGGGGCTTGCCGTTAGGAAGTACTTTCGTTGCACACCTGGATATGGTGCTGCCTGCATTGACCCCGATACGAAGTGCCCCACCAACGCCAAGGTCAACATCCAAGCTGTCGCCACCCACCCGCCCGAAGATGCAAGGGGGGGGGGAATTAAGTCACCCCCGAAAAGATGACCTAGCCATTTTTTCGGGGCTCAAAAAAAAATAAGAAGACCCGGCCTTATTATATGAGAAACACGGTATTTGCAGGAAAGGGGTCTCCAACCTTGGCCATTTTAAGACGTGTGGACTTCAACTCCCACAATTCCTCAGCCAGCAAAGTCTTACAGCAAAGGCCAAGGTTGGAGACCCCTCATTTAGGGGAAACCCCTCATTTTAATTAGGACCCCTCATTTTAATTAGGACCTGTTCTGATAGGAACCGGGGCTTTATGGCTTCCTCCACAAGCCACGGTGAGAGCCAAGGGAGCCCCCAAGCCATACAAACCATAGTGAGTGTACTGACTGCCCTCCCATGGATACCATCAGCTCCACAGAGTATCAGGCAGCAGCGTCCAAAATGAAAAGCCCCCCCCCCCCGCTTACAGGGCCGACCGACCATTAATCACAGCTCACAAACTACAACAGGTACCTTAAAGCAGGTATGCCAACTGAAAACAAACTATACAACCCACGGATGTGAGGTGACCATCTAGTTCGTACAACCTGCCGAGGCTTAATATGGTTTGTTTGTTTGTTTTTTTAAAATCTGCCGGTGTTGAGCACAGTTTAGGCTTCCATGGAAACAGAACTTTCCTCCACCCACCCTCCGTACTCATCAAAAACCAAAAGAAAAAAGCTTGGAGGAGATTTTTTTTCCCCCCCCCCAGGAATCTCAGCTCTGGTTTTCCTCCCCTCCCAACCTCCACCCCGAGCTGGACATTTACCCAGCTCCAAGGACCTCTCTCTCAGGATTAAAACAAAAGGGAGCCAATAACAATGGCACGCACAGAGGCTGTTTGCTTTGGCAATCTTTATATATATCCACAATACAGAATAACCATGCACAAAATCCAAGGGGAGTTTATTTACAAGGGGAATTGCACTTAACGTAAGAATCTGCAGGAAGCCATGAAGAGGGGGGGGGGAAACAAAAAACCAACCAACCCTCGGACTCCTTCGTCACCTCCGGAGATTCGAACCAGGCCCCGGGAGGGTTCGACCAGGCAAGAGAAGAAATTTCAGAGCCTTTCCAAAGGTTTCGCCAGCACTCTGTGGCGGGTGCCAAGCCCCAGCGTTTCTGGGGGTGGGGAGGGAAGAGGCAGAGCCTGTGCTTCATGCCCTGAGCCAGAAGTGCCCCATTGTCCTCTTTAAACCCCTTGCAAAGGTTGCAGTTTTCCAGAGAGAGAGAAAGAGTCAGAGACAGGGAGAGAGAGAGAGAGACAGAGACAGAGACAGACAGACAGACAAACCAACCTCTCTCTCTCTCTCTCTCTCTCTCTGTCAAGCTTGATGCCTCAAAGGGAATTGCTCTCCCTGTTGCCGAGTGCCAAAGATCCTTCTAGCAACCTTCCTTGCTCGCAGGGCAGCCAAGGGAGGCGGGAAGGGGTAGGGGTGGGGAGCAGGCCATCTATGCCCAGGAGGGGAACGGGGGCCTGGACGTTCAGCACCGCCTGGGGTTTCTTCTCCTCCTCCTTGCCCCCCCCCCCCCCCCCCCCGAGGGTCTTGAGCCCCCAGGGTGTTAGCAACAGCAGGTTGAAGGAGCGGGGAGCAGAGAGGAGCCCGCTGGGGCAAAGTCTAAGGAGCCACGAAAGAGAACCGGAGGCATCTGCAGTCTCCCTTTTGAATTCAGTGAGGCTGCTAATCCAGAGCAGGGAGAGGTTTCCTGGGAGTGGGTGGACTGACCCCCTTCCCACAGCCCCCATTTCGCTTCCTTCCCTCCCTCCCTCCCTTCATCCTTACAGGAGCTGGTGTTTTGTTCTGTTTTCGTAAAATTATCCCTCGGTTCCTTTTGAGAGAAGTACCTCCAGAACCAAAGAGCAAAAAAATGAAATAGGGGGGGGGGGAGGGTGTCATTTGAGACTGACAGGGGAGGGGAGGGGGTGGAATCCAGTCACTCTTCCAAAGCTTGGGTGCATTTTTTTAAGGGGGAGCCGAGGGCGCCAGAAACAGAACAGCCTTTCAATTCCCACGGAGATTCGGTCTGCTAGGGCGACTGTCTGGGATCCAACGCGGGAAAAGGAGAATTCGGGTCCGATAATGGGTAGACCAACCTGAGCCCGCCAGCCTCGCTCGGAGGAAGATGGCAGGGGCAGAGATGGAAGAGGAGACCCAGAATGACTCCCCTGCCCTTTTTAACGTGGGCGGCTGCTCACTTATCCCCAGGGAGCCACGTTTTCTCCACCGGTTATGTAATGTCTGAATCTACACCCTGGGCTGCCTTAGTCAGAGGAAGAAACAGAGGCCTCGCAACGTGCGTCTGGGACGGGGAAACAAACCCCACTGAGACAGCAGCAGCCTCCGCCTGCCAATCAGAAGCGCCTCCCTCGCAGGCAGCGCTTCCCAAAAGCACAAAAGGGTTCAAAACACCCCTCCAAAACAAGCGAGGAGGCCCGAGCAGCCAGCCAGACTGCCTGCCTGCCTGCCTCCACGACTGCCATCCAAACAAGCCGCCTCTCTGAGCCACGACGGACGTCGCCTGGGTGTCCTTGGGGCAGCACCCCTCCGGCATCCGAAGAGGGATCCGTGGCCAGGCTCCAAAATAAAGGCTCTTGTTTTCTGGAGGTGCATTGTGACCCCGTGAAGCCCACTCGGAAAGCAGGCGGCCAAGCCCCCCGGGAAAGGCCGACTCCGTTCCGGAGATCAACTGGCAGGGGACCAACAGCTTCCTTCCTTCCCTGCTTCCCGGGCTGGCCTTAAAGGGGGTTTCCTCAATAGATCAGAGATTTTTAAAAAACCTCAACAGCAAAATGCCCCACCCACCCCTTTTTGTTTTAAATTTGTTAGCTGGCTAAAACCAGGAAAAGAGAAGCTATGGCGGCTGTCCCGCTCTCGTTAACATGCCCCCAAATAAATGGGGCAAGACCAAAATTCTGCTGGCAAAACACACGTACAGAGGTGGCTCATGCCCCGCAATAACTGCCTCCTGGCCAGAGGCTGTTTTGATTTAGAAACCCTGTCCACGCCCTGTCAGCTGTTTTCATCCTTCCTTCAAAAGCTACACAGCAAAACAAAAATCGGCAGGAATCGAGTTTGGTGGAATCAAGATCCTTTCTTGCAAAGGGTGGTATTGCCAGCAAATATTCTAGTTCAATGTTTTACCTTGCCCGATGTTAATATTTTCATATATATATATATATGAGAGAGGGGGAGAGAGGAGAGAGGGAGGGAGAGATAGACAGAGATAGAGAGAGAGGGGGGGAGAGAATGAGAGAGGGAAGAGAGAGGAGAGAGATATAGAGATAGATATATAGACAGAGATAGAGATAGATAGATATAGAGGGAGAGAGAATGTGTGAGAGAGTGAATAGAGCGGCCTGCATATTAAGATGATAAGAAATAAACAGCAAGTGCCGTAAAAGGAGATAATACAAATTCCAAGATGCTCAATTGTTACCAAAAAAAGGAGCTATCAAGTATCTGATTCTCTACAACTATTCCTCCAGACAACCTTAGCAGTGCAAGTTATGTACATGGCAGGAAAAATATTGCTTCGCACTCAATCCGAAGGGCGGGGGGGGGGGGGGGGGAACAATGCGGGGGGGGGGGGGGGGGGGGGGGGGGGGGGCGGGGAGAGAAACAAGGGGGTGAGGGGGGGAGGGGAGGGACTAGCTGGTCAAGAAAGCGACATGCAGAGATGGAATCTCGGAGATACACGAGGAAGCATTCGGATGGTGAAAAAGGAGACCCAGAAAGCCTTCGGCTGGCACTTCGTCTACTAGATTTGTTAGTGTCATGCCAGGGCGGGTGACATTTCGGAGCCGGTTCTCGGGATGTGCACGCAGCCCTGGTGGCGTCAAGAGCTCACTGCGCACAGACAGACTTCACTGTCCCAAACTGAAAGCAAGGGGGAGGGCAGGGAGGGGAGGGAGGAGAGAGCCAAGAGAAAAGAAGTGGGCTGGTCTGAGAGAAAAAGCGAGGAAAGCTAAGCCAACACTACCGCCAACACCCCCCAAAATAAAACCCCCACTGGCACGAGACCGGGAAGAGAGACGAGTCACAAAGCCAATCCATGAGTTTTGCCAGGTGTGAGTGTGCAGGTGTCTTGACACGCCCACCGGACAGAAGCCAGAAAAGAAGGGCTTCTCCTTGACTTTTAAAGAGTTCTTTTGTGCCTGAATGGCCACAAAGAAAGACAACAGCAACACTCCCTTGAGGTCCCTCAAGCACCCATCCTCCCCGTTCCTCTAAACGAGGCACACACACACACACACACACACACACACGAGCACGCATACATATACACACACATACACAAGAGAACACTTCCTGGCTCGTGGTGGAATTTCAAAGACACCCCCCACCCCGCATCCCCCACCCCACCCTCAGCACTACATTCATCACCGGTCACGGGGGAGGGGAGGTTAGCCCTCTTTGAGAAGGGTTGGGGGGGGAGGAGGGGGTCAGGGGGGGCCGAGGAAGGAGCAGTGCGCACGTGTCTCCCGCTGAAGGGCAGGCCTTGAGGAGAAGGGCGGGCAGCGGCCGAGGGAGGGTCACAGGTTCTGGCAGCACTGGAGTTTATTGGATTTCTGTCCGTCGGTGGTGGGAGGCACGCTGATGTCCACCACGTTGTTTCCCGGAGACTCGTCGTGGGCAGACCGGTCCGCGATCTGCTTCTGGGACACGATGCGATAAATCTCTGCAAAGGAGACCAGAGGGTGGTTCTGATTGAGCCTGCATTTCTTGTGCCGCCCCCCAAATAAGCAACTGGTGAGCAAGGCCACGGTGAAGCCGAAAAAGCGCAAACGCTGGGGGGGGGGGACACCTTTGGGACAACTGCAACCTGGATGACGGAGAATCTCCACAGACATACCATAGTGAAGGTGATCCCTCCCACAACACTGTAGCCTGGGACAACACGTGTGATGACCCAAAGGGGCGTGCCACAAAGGCAGCACAGTCAAGATAATCAAGAAGAGTCCCTTTATTAGCTCCAACTTTGCCCCCTAATATCCTGGATACTTTCTGGCTGGAGAAAAACTCTCCCAGGAACAGCCTTTGACAGCAGAGAATTAAGTCCAAAACATGGTCAACACAAACTGTAACTAAAAATCTACACAAACCACGCTGCAGTAATTAACTTGACAGGGCAACAGAAGGAATTGCAGATTGAAAGGCCAGCAAAACACACACAGTTGGGAAGACGCCAGGAACCCAGATAAGCCTTGACGATACCAGATAATTCACAATTTGCTCCCAACAACTTGCTGTGCGCAGCTTCCATTTTTAAACACTGTGTTCCCAGCTGCAGCTAATGAAGGGAATCAGGGCCCTTTCCTCCCCCGTAAGCCACGCAACTCATGTTGCTCCCTTCTCTGTTCCTCCCTGTGTGCCCTGGGATGAAGAGGGGGTGGGCCTTAGTCTTCCTCTAAACTCCCTCTCCCTTATTCTACCTCCCCACTCCTCTGTCCAGCCAGACTTTGTCCTACCCCAGTTTCTTCCACAGCCAACGGAGCCACACTCCGACTCCTTGTCAGCAGCTCGGCCTTCCCCTCTGAATCAGATTCCGACAGGGGCATGACTACACGATCCCGGGTTACGGGGAAAGAACGGTTGGATCCTGCATGTTGCAAGGTTGAGTCTCTGTCCGCTCAGCATTTGCTGTGACCCAGGATGCAACCTCCTTTGTTGGTTTGGGAATTCCCACCAGCCAGCAGACACACTAGATCAGGGGCGTGAAACTGGCGGCCTGCAGACCGGATGCCTCATGTGCAGGCCAGGCCCACCCCAGCTGCGCGAATGGGAAAAACGTTGCGAAACATCATGTGACAGCAACGTGTTTGACACATGCCCTAGATGATCTAGTTCTAGTAGATAATCCTGTGGATAGCCAGGTGCCAAGCCACAAAGGATCTTAGGGGTTTAAAAAAAAAGACAAGCTCCTCAAATTGCACATGGAAAGCTGCCGTGCAAATTGTCTGTAGAGATTCTCTGTCCTCCAAATCATGGTTGTCCCAAAGGTGCTTTTTTTTTTTTTTTTTTTCAGGAGGCAACTGGATTTTCTGGTTTTTTTCTTTCAAAGACGTTTCACTTCTCATCCAAGAAGCTTCCTTGGCTCTGACTGGACGGTGGGTAATGGAAGGATTTATATCCCTTGCAGACAGCTGGTAAATTACTGCAAGGAATATAAATCCTTCCACTCCCCACTGTCCAGTCAGAACTGAGGAAGCTTCTTGGATGAGAAGCAAAACATCTTCGAAAGGAGAAAAAAACCCAGAAAGTCCAGTTTGCCTCCTGAAAAAAAAGGTACTTTTGGGACTGATGTGCAAATTGTTCTCAGCAGCCAGGTAGGTGGTTTCTACGATTCCTGGTAGGAAATTACAAAGCCCCCTGGATGACAGCCCACTCAGGCAAGAGAGGAGGCGCAGCGAGCCCACTTCACCTCCCTTATCCCCACCAAAGGTCTCACTCCAAAGGTGGACACTGCCCCGTGCTCAGGTTGACCTGTCTTCCCGCTTCAGCGCCCCAAATGCAGAGTCAGATATTTAATAGCTTCTCATCATCATTGCTGGCACTTGTATGTCACAGAGGACCTCACGGGGTTGGCCCCTAGCAAGAGACCTACTGCACTCAGGAGCTGCCCCTGGAAAAACCGGGGGAATTTCCCAAACATCCTTTGGGAACCGCTGGCCCGTTGCTGCATTCTGGACCAGCTGTGGCTTCCAAGGGGTCTCCGAGGGCAGCCCCACGTACAGGGCATTGTAACAGTCCACATGCACATGGCAACTAAAGCTATGAAGGATGGCGAGAAGAGGCTCTAAGCAGGAAGACCCCGGACTGCAAAAATAAACCAGGGTTAGGTTCACGGTTGCTAAGGTATCGTGCTCCCGTTGGAAGCCTGACTCTGTGCAGGAAGACGCGTGGGAACTGGAGCACAGAGAGAGATGAGGGGGCAGCTTCACTGCTTCAGAGGAAGATGGACAGGAGCAGGCCCAGTCAGGCCGGGGCCTTTCAGGATTGGGACGGCTCACAGGCAGGGAGGAAGGGGAGCAGGATGACGACCAGGAGAGGCGAAGCAGCACAGGCTGACCCGGCTACTCGGGAGGAGAGCACCCCGCCCCTCTCCACAAAGCACACCTGGGAACTGAGGCTTAAGGGGAAGCTGGAGGGAGGGGCGTCTGTCGGGAACAAATGCTGGATTCCTGGAGTGTGGAAGAACTTTCCTGGATTCCCTGCTTTGCAGCCGTGGTGCTCACAGCATTGGGCTGGACTATTTGCAGCCAGAGGCTGCTTGAGCTTTGAGTGTGTGTGTGTGTGTCCTCACTTTGCTCTGGGACTTGCCAGAAACGTGAGAGCATTGGGGGGAAATTTGGAGCAAGAAAGGGGTGGTCTGAACTGCCACCTGCCTGCGTTTACCTCTGTGCCGTGCCCCGGATCATCACATCAGGTGGCCATCCAGCCCTAAGCGACCAGACTGGATGCCACGTTGAGGGCAGGTGGAAGCCTTCAAGGATGACGGGCCTTGGGGAATCGCACTGCCAACCACAGCAACGGTGGCGTCAGGTGGCGTAAGCAGGGATGTTGCCGCGGAACAAAGCTCTTGGCTCCCTGGAGTCCACAGCTTCAACCACAGGATCTCAAGGGTGTTTTATCTCCAGCGCAGGTGTCTCTGAAAGCCATCCAGGCTTCTTGGATACTGACTGCCACCCTGCTTCCCCGGCCTGGGCTTGGTGCTCCCAAGGGGAGTTTCCTTCTGAGAAGGCAGCACCACCGTCTGGGCCCACCCACCCAACAAAAGGTGGGAGCCAGGGGCCCCAAGCATCTGGTTACCGGGGATTAAAGCCGGGGAGCAGGAGGGTGGAACTGGTTTCAGATACTGATGCTACTTTCCTGTGAGTGGTTCCCACATCTGCCTCAACAGCTGCATATAGACAGAGAGCAGCAGTAACCCAAGGCACCGCTCTCCCCCTACTCCAGGGGCAGGCAATTAATTTCCCCAAGAAACTGGGGGCTGTTATGGAAGGTCCCTAACATTGCCAGCTCTCTGCCCCCCACAACAGGTGCCACTTAAATCACAATTACGAGACCACGGGGATACGGCATGGCCCTAAGAACAAGGACCAGTTATAAGTCACTTTTTAAAATGTTGTCCTGGAGTCTGGGAAGGCTCTGATGAGAGCTCTATGTCGGAGGTAGAGATGGGGCCAGGGCCGTCTGGCAGTTATCGGCTGCCTTCGGAGTCAGCCATCAGTGAGGTAGAAGAGCAGCTGGAGCCTGTTCCCAGTGTGCGCATGTGCAGAGTTGCCAGAAGAAGGGAACAGCTGAGGAACAAGGGCCAACTTAGGAGTAAAGCCACAGGTGGACGGTGAATGACCCCCTCCCCTATAGGATAAAAGAGGAGCGAAAGGGGAGTGGGACTTTGTAGGAGACAATCAGTTCCTTCCGGCATGCTTGCCAAATATTGCGGCGTCTGAAAGATATCGGCCTGGCACTTCTCCAAGCCTGAAAAGGTCAGTAATTAGGAACTACCTTGAAGACTATTGCCCGGGACTTTGTTGGGAGAGGAAATTCATGGTAAGTTAAATAAAAGGGGTTTATCGGGGTGAGGACTCGGCTTCATGCTGTTGGGGAAGCCTAGGCCGGAACAACTAGGAGCTGATCCTAAACGTTTGCGTGAATCGTATTTTATCCGATGAGAGAAAATTGTAAACAAGATATGATAGGCTAAACTTGGCAAGAAGTACACTCTAGGCGTGGATGAAATTCAAGTTCAATCGGGCAGCCCCTTCTTGAAAAAGGCTTCCTTCCAACAAGCCCACCCTACAAACAGCCATTCAATTCCTTCCTTGTCAATTGATTGGGTGTTTGCCAAAGGGAGATGAACGATATAAAATCATTAAATTCAAACTCTGGTACCCGTGGGACCGTGGCCATACCTGAAGAGCAGAGTTTGGGTTCCTTTACCTGTAAGGATGTTCTTGAAGGCTTCTTCTACATTTGTTGAGTCGAGTGCTGAAGTTTCAATGAACGAGAGATTGTTTTTTTCTGCAAGGTGAAGAGTGAAAAATATCATTTCAATCTTATTGGCTACTTTGTGCACAGAGCAGCACTCAAAGTTGGGAAGGCCGATTTAATGTTTCACAGGATTTTCCCCTAAAAGATTAGTTAACTGAATGGAAAAATTAATACTAGTCTGGATCATACATAACCAATATGACCAGCTGGAGTTAGCATCTGGTCCAATGCCTCCCTCCCAATCCAGAAGAGGATCAGATCATTCTATTCCTTCAGTTTTAAATGAAGAATTGCTATGGCATCCAAAATTGATATTTGTAACTAGCTTTAACTATGAACAACAAAACAAAGTTTCATCCTGTTTTCAAACTGACTTAGTTTTGCTAACTAAAGCAAAGAAGAATCAAAGTTTAGTTCAAGTCAAACTGCAACAGGAGAAGCACTTTTATTTATTTATTTAACACGGCTGCCCAACTCACACACAAGCGACTCCAGGTGGCCTATGTTTTCAAATCTTACCGCACAAAATCCATAAAACCCACCCCCATTTTAGCCCATGGGGCTCAGTGCGATTTGACACAGTGACGCTCAAATCAGCTTTCCACCCTCTGCCCCCGGACTCATAATGTAAACTACAATTATAGTAAGTCTCAACCACCAGGGCATAAAGATCGAGGCTGAACTTGAGGCAAGAGTGTCTAACTCTCTGTGGCCATTGTAACTTTGAGAGATTGCAGAGTGGTTTATGCCATCTCCTGACAAGGATCAACACAAAAGCATATTAATTCTAAGGTATATTTTTATGTACAGTGAGAGCATATGCACCAAAGACAAATTCCTTGTGTGTCCAATCACCCTTGGCCAATAAAGAATTCCATTCTATTCAATATATTAAGGCTCGGCAAGTTCAGAACAGTATTCTGTTTATGCTCAAGAGAACAGGGGTGCCTTTGGCTTCTCCAACTTCCCGCTTAGAGCCTCTTCTCATGATCACTCGTCGCTTAGCTGCCTTGTGCATGGGTACTGTTACGATGGCTTGTATGTGGGGCTGCCCTCCGAGACCTCTGGGAAGCTATAGCTGGTCCAGAGTGCAGCAATGGGCCAAAGGCTGCTTAGGGAATTCCCTGGTTTTCTAGGGGTAGCGTGGTGCAATGGCTCCTGAACAGTGGATGCCCTTGTTTCTGAGGGGTCTCTTGCCAGGGACATATTCTTATTCTAGACTTTACTGAAGCAAATGCACTTTGGATGCTTCAGAATCCTTGCAATACTTCAGCAATTTGCACAAAGCTTTTGTATGGCATGCAAGGTGTGTGGGGTTTTTTTTTTTCTCCCTTCCAGAGATTCCAAAAATATCTATCCCGTTTTTCGAGAGCAACCTGTCCTGCTTTGACATTATGTTGACAGCAGCAAGATTATTATATGCCCCAAAATGGAAGGACACTTCGCTTCCTACCCTGGACAAAGGATTGCAGAAGTTGATGGAGTTGGCTGAAATGGCAAAAATTGACTTATTTTGATTAAGGAAAAGAATAGAACGACTTTTGTTTCCACATGGAGACCAGACCGCTTCTGAACTTTGTGCTTGATGTGGAAACTTTGATGTTGGGTTTTACCGATCAGATTGACAGATCTCTACAGAAATGGCTTGTTCATGTTATTATGGGAAAACAAAAAGTTGTGGCTTGATGTTAATGCCTTTATTTTACTGCAAAAGAGAGCCGGAAGTCAATGATTCTTTTTCTTTTTTCCAACCCTTCCTCGCTTTCCTATTTACTTTTGTATTTTGTATCTTATTTTCTCTTACAAAATCAATAAAAAAATATGATAAAATGGCTAAATGCCTAAAGAAGTCAACGGGCCAAACCTGCGAAAGCCCGGGCCTCGTCCGTCGGTACCGCTCTCAGGTGACGCAAGTCGCTCTTGTTTCCCACCAACATGATGACAATGTTGTTGTCGGCGTGATCCCGCAGCTCCTTCAGCCAACGCTCCACGTTCTCGTACGTCAGGTGCTTGGCAATGTCGTAAACCAGAAGGGCCCCGACGGCACCACGGTAGTAGCTGGAATTGTTTTTAAAGAGTTATTACGCAAACTGAAAGCCAAACACTATCACACAACCTCTTGGCCACAGCGCAAGCTACTGAGAGGCCCAATTCACAAGCTCGTAAGAAGGATGTCCAGGTAAACCTCCACTCACAACCCTTTTGTTTAGGGACGCTTCAAAGTTACAACGGCGCTGGGGGGGAAAGCGACCTGTGACCAGTTTTCACACTTACGACCGCTGCAGCACCCGCAGGGTCCCATGATCAAAATTCAAACGCTTGGAAAGTGGCATGGATTTATGAAAGTTTCCCTGGGGTGAGGCATTCAGTTTTTGTGACCTTCTGACACGCAAAATCCACGGGGGAAGCCAGATGCCCTTTAATAACCGTGTTAATAACTTAACTGCAGTGATTCACTTAACAGCTGTGGCAAGGAAGGTTGTAAAATGAGGCAAAAGGCACTTAACAATTGTCTCGCTTCAGCAATGGAAATCTTGGGGTCTGTTACGGCCATACATCGATGGAGCGTAACAACCTTAACACCCCACCCCTCCACCCATTAGCCACCTACTAGCCACCCCCAGCTGCCTTTCAAGCCTTACGCAGAGGTGATGGCACGATAGCGCTCCTGGCCTGCCGTGTCCCAGATCTGGGCCTTTATCGTCTTCCCATCCACCTGGATGCTTCTGGTGGCAAACTCCACCCCAATGGTGCTTTTGCTCTCCAGGTTGAACTCATTCCGTGTGAAACGGGATAAGAGGTTACTCTTCCCCACGCCGGAGTCTCCGATCAGCACCACTGCCAGGGCAGGAGAAGACAACACTCCGTCAGTATTCATTCATCCATCACCTGGAAATGGGAGGGAGGGAGGGAGGGAGGGAAGGAAGGAAGGAAGGAAGGAAGGAAGGGCAAAGGGCGCCATTGGCAAATCGCACACAAAATGACAATGTGGTTAAGAGGAAGCCTTCAAATTGTTGTTGAATGTCCTGCTTTTCTGCTCCTTCCTCTCCCTTTCAATGGCTGATTGCTACCTTTTCTATTCTACTTCTCCTCCATGCCATCCCAAATTTCCTTCAGTCAAGCTCAATTACTAGGGACTTCCAGGAGATTCCATTTCCTGTTCTTGGCACCAGTACAGAAGTGACTTGTGGATGCCTTTTTCCAAGATGCTTCAACTTTCCATTGCTCTGCATTTCTTAGTGGTCTCTCATCCAAATACTACTCAGATCCACATAAGCATCAATGCAAATGTGTTAAAATATTATCCCCCTTTATTATTCTCATAAATAACGACAGAGAACATACCAAATCCTCTTTCCTCCTTTTGAGAGAGAGCAACTAGCCCAAAGTCACCCAGCCGGCTTTCAAGGCTAAAGCAGAACTAGAACTCACCCTCTCCTAGTTTCTAGCCTGGTGCTTTAACCACTGGACCCAACTGGTACTCCTTGCATTACACGGGCAACAGTCTGTACAGAAATCCCAGCCTGCCATACAATTATGCCTCCCACATCCACTTATTAACTTAGCGGGTAAAAAGATTCATCTTCTCTGATTTTCCTTTAGTTTCCAACTGTGACTTTCTGTGCCCCTTCTCACATTCTACCTGCTTTCTGCAAGTTTGCAGAGATTTGTTTTTTCTTTGAAGACATTTCACTTCTCATCCAAGAAGCTTTTTCAGCTCTGACAGGATAGTGGGGAATGGAAGGAATCTATATTCCTTGCAGACACTGATCATTTGCATTATTTGAGGACGCTTGGAGGTTCACTTGTGTCCTGGGGTTACCTGAGTAGTCACTTGCTTTCTGCGGTGGCTTTCCACACAGCTTAAACAAATAACCCTAAAGAGAAGCAAGCAGCAACATCCATTCTCCCCCACCCTCCGTCAGAACTGATGAAGCTTCTTAGATGAGAAGAGGAAAAAAAATTCTTCTTCCTCAAGGACAAAAAACAGTTTCAGTTGCCTTTTTTAAAGAAAAAACAACAACTTTGAGACATGAGAGTAGGCTGCTCTTCATTTGTAGACAACTTTCCACAGGAATCGGCAAATATGCCTAAAAGACTGGACTCCACGGGGCTGTAGGAGTGGGGTTTTTTTATTTGCTGAATTTCATTTCTAGCTTAAGTTACCTCTTCATGCTAACAAGGTCAGAGAACCAAAGCCTAAATTTGGAGCCTAAGATCCATCTATTCTCTAGGCCAGTTCTATGATGCTAATTGCAACTCAATTTGAGGTACATTTGCAACTCAGGGTTGAAATGAGGGGTCCTTGGTGCTCTCTGAGCTTGGTGGTTCTCTTGCAGACATA